GTTTATAATCACAGTTATAAATGTTTTACTCTTCATTGTACTGTACATTTCTGCATGCACTTGCACATCCACTATTCAGGCATGTATTAATGATTAGTGACTGTGTTAGCAGATTTTCTATAAAAACTCACAAATTCATTTTCTAATGATGGCCTATAAACAGTTATTAATGCAGGAATTCACAGTTACAAAGCACTTACTACTCATTAATTAAGTATTTTGTGTGAGCTCTTCTAAAGTGAGCACTATCTATGGCTTATTAAGGATTTACAAATGAGATATAAAGGCTGACAATGCCTCGAGACTCACAAAATGTTCAGTTATCTTAACAGACGAAGGAGAGACACAACACAAAGGGATATAGAACATATTGTATTGATATTTATTAAACATGGCTGAATAAAAACTTGCCAACATCAACAGTGGATCACAGACGTTTCAAATATGAAAAATAAAATCTTTGTTCTAAAATAAAAACTCTGTATCAAAAATATACACACACAATTACGTATTCAAATCCATCTCAAAACGCTAAAAATTATTTGAGACAGACAAAATAAATATACTCAACACATTTGAATTTTACGACACTACAAAAACAAAGTGCACTGAATTCTTGGAATTTGTCTCACAGAAAGAAAGTCTTGCTAACAACGGTTACAGTGACTGCATATGACTACTTGTATTTTTTGGAAATGTCATGAATCAGTCTGCCAAATGCACCCTTACAGTGTTTTTCTGCGAGCCATTCATTCCACTCAATCACTGAAAGGTGGTCGGAAAGCAAACTGTCAGTGCGATTTCCCCTAAGCCTCCAGATCTGCTCCTGGTAGGATCTCCAGGCCCTCTCAAGATGCTGGGTATGGGCACCAGTTTGGGGATCTACATACCACCTGCTGTGGTTGACAGTGTGATGGTTGTACCCTAGTGCAGAGAGTATGCGATACGCACGCCACTCATCACTGATAACTGTAGATCCAAGCCTCACATGATGGGCAATCAAGGGGACTAGATGTCTTCAGATCTTCTCTCACAAGACTAGAATGTTTCTTCGTCCTGATGATGCCTCACACCTAACATCCCAAAGACCCACTTCTTTCTTTTCCACCCACCAGCCATTCTTCCTTTCCCATACTGATGCAGAAACAAAACAACAAACACAGACGTAAACAGATACATTCTATTACAATAACTTGTTTGACTGTATTTGACACTTAATTACAGTCACTATTACTATAACATACCTTTCTTTTGTGCCGAAAAAGGCTCTCATCGATCACAACAAACTCCCTTCTTCCACCAATCTGTTGGCCTGTACGCCTTCTCATCCTTTCCAGTGCTGTGACACAAACCTCCCTTATTTTTTTTGTCATTGTAGTGAGAGTGGTTGAACTGGCTGCAATTGTGTCATCCATCATATCAATCTGTCGTAATCGTAGACCCTGACAAAATCTTCAAAGGCAAATGAAAAAAAAGAATGTTTATGTTTCTCTAAATTCATTGACAAAACATGCTATGCATTATTTTGCATATTGAGTGTTTTATGCAATTACAGAGAGAACAGCAATATTCTGATATGATATGTGTTTATGTTATTATTGTTATTACTTGCTCACCTGTACATGAACTGCATCCAGTTACTGAGGGAGACCTTTGAATGACATTGACTTGTGCCTGATGGATTTTTGTTTTTCCTTTCCCATATGTGCTGCATGGCAACAGGTCCTATTTAAAAAGTACAGTAACATAAAATACTGTTTATTTAGGAAAGGGCTTCATGCAATACTGTATTCTCCACCACTATCTCACTTACTCACTCACTCACTCACACACACACACACACACACACACACACACACACACACACACACACACACACACACACACACACACACACACACACACACAAGTTTAGGTCGTAATGGGAAACATAATCAGGTTACAAAAAAAATGCAACTATAATCAGCACAAAGTACACTTAAAAAATTTAGAGATTGTCAGTTACAAAGATTACTTGTTTGATTACGTATTTAAAATACGGCAATTTCAAAATCCTAAAACTGTACAGTACAGATGTAGATGTTCATGCCAGTATGTTTTTGTGAGGGTAATTTGATTTGAACAATTCTGAATGCTGGATATGTTCTACTGTAGCCTGTAAGTAAGTTACTCCTCTCAGGTTGCTAGTTTTTTAAATGATGACTTTTTTTATATATTTTTGTTTAATGAATTATAGATGATGTTTTAATTATTTTTTTATTTACATTAAAAAAATGAAGGTGAACATTTTGAGGAAGTGTTCCTCTAGCTTCAGAACCACAAAGTCCTCCATGTGGCCCTTGATTAAATAAATAGCTGCAGCAAAAACTTAGACAAAATAAATATCCCATGTAGCAGGATACACACAGCGTATTTGCAGCTTGTGCCAGTACTGTTTTTGTAAGTTTAATTTGATTTCACCAACTGTAAATATAAAATATGCATAATGCATTTTATTTGCACTGAAAATGTAAATGGTGTAATATTGTCATTGTTTGATCCAAAAGGATTTAGATTAGATAACATTACTAACTACATAAATTGCATTTAATTTGTATTGAGTAGCCTGATTACATCCCAAAGTAATCTGACCCAAACCTGCACACATCAACACATAACTGCAAATTATTTTAAATGTACCTATATGTAATTATACATTTCTCACCAAGCATATAGATCTCCACTGTTCGTCCTCTTTTTCAGTTTCATATCCTGATGGCATATTCTGCATTTGACTTTTCTTTTTAGCAGTTTCCTCTTCTGAAGCCACTTTATCAGCTTCAGGGCGTTTCTTTTCGAGGTTTCCTCCTTAATGAGCTTCTTCAGTCGGGTGAATATGGTCATGGTTTTATGCATTTAAAAAAGCATTAAACCAGAGAATGTCTGTGGTGGTTTGGGGCGTGTACGTTGGGCTTGCAATCCCGCTCTCAGCACGTCATCAACGTGATGACGGCAACATTTTACGTTGATATTCACCGGTATGTTAACTCTCAGAAGTTTCTGAGAGTGCAGCCAAGAAAAGCATGGAGAACTCTGGCCTAAATCCAACTTTATTTGTTAAGCACTTTAAAACAACCAAAGTTGACCAAAGTGCTGTACAGGAGAATAAATAAGACATCATAAATAAAAGACATAACAGCTCACATGAGGCGCAAAATAACATATAATACAACAATAAAATGAAAAGACATAAATAAAAATAATAACCATGCAATAACAAGCAATCAAAAAGTAAAAATAACAAATACAAAAAATAAATCAAGTAAATAAAGTCGACATCTTACTAGGTGTCAAAGGCCACAGAGAAGAGATGGGTTTTAAGACTGGTTTTAAAAACAGACAGAGAAGAGGCCTGTTTAATGTGCAGAGGCAGATCATTCCATAATTTAGGAGCAGACACAGCAAAGGCACGGTCCCCTCTGAGCTTCCGCTTAGTTTTAGGCACACTCAGGAGCAGCTGATCATCTGACCTGAGGGGGCGGACGGGTATATAGGGGTGTAGAAGCTCAGATAGGTAGGGCGGGGCAAGACCATTCAGGGATTTAAAAGCAAATAAAATAATTTTAAAATGGATCCTAAATTGAATAGGCAGCCAGTGGAGTGAGGCTAAAATGGGGGAAATGTGCTCATGTTTAAGTGTGCCAGTTAAAAGACTTGCAGCAGCATTCTGTACCCCCTGAAGACGGGCGATGGAGGACCCACTAACCCCCACATATAGTGCATTACAGTAATCCAGCCGAGTGGTAACAAAGGCGTGGATTACCGTCTCAAAGTGCTGCCTTGATAGAATTGGCTTTATTTTGGCCAGCTGCCTCAAATGGAAAAAGCTTGATTTGACAACAGCCTTGATCTGACTGTTAAACTTAAGCTCAGGGTCCACTTTAACCCCTAGGTTTGTGATGCTAGGTTTAATATACTGGGCCAAGGAACCCAGATCTACAGGGGGGGTCCCAGTGGTGCCACCAAAAACCATCACTTCTGTCTTTTTATCATTGAAATTTAAAAAGTTCAGAGTCATCCAGGCTTTATGTCGTCGAGGCACTTAAGTAGCAGTCTGACAGAGTATTCATTTTTCTTTTTAAGAGGCACATAAATCTGACTGTCGTCTGCATAACAGTGGAATGAAAAGCCGTGCTTCCTAAGTATGGAACCAAGTGGGAGTAAATAGAGAGAGAAAAGGAGAGGGCCAAGTTCGATCAGCCAAGTACGACCTGAACCACTCCAGTGCTATGCCCCTGATGCCCACCCACTGCTTCAAACGTGAGATCAGTATTTCATGATCCACTGTGTCAAATGCAGCAGTTAAATCTAAAAGCACAAGGATAACACAGTCACCAGAGTCAGTAGCTTAAAAGATATCATTAAAAACTCTTAAGAGAGCTGATTCTGTGCTGTGCATGGTTTTAAAACCGGATTGGAAAACCTCTAGAATATTATGTTCTTCCAGAAAGGCCATTAATTGACACACAATTGTGCACAATCTTCTCCAGGATTTTTGAAAGGGAAAGGCAGTTTGGAGATAGGCCTGAAATTAGCAATAACTGCAGGATCTAGAGCAGGTTTTTAATCAGAGGTTGTACTACTGCATGTTTAAAATTTTCAGGGACCACACCTGAGGTCAGACTGCTATTTATGACTGCAATAACAGATGGTCCTACAGTGGGGAAAACCTCCTTAAATAGTCGAGGGGGGACAGCATCATTTGGAGAACCTGAGGGCTTCAAATGACCAACAACCTCCTGTAAAAAGGAAAAAGTCACAGGCTCAAACTGGTCAAAAACAGCAGAGCAGGGGACAGAGATTGAGGGGTCATAAGCTGAAGGTGAGATTTGAGCCCTAATTGAAGTGGCCTTATCAATAAAAAAGTGAAGGAAGTTTTCACACACAGCAGGGGACGCCTCCATACAGGCAGTCTGTGGGGCATTCAGAAGTGAGTCAATTGTGTTAATCGACGAGGGCGAATGCGGACGCGGGCCAATAAGAATGGCGGTGTGGGGATGGATACACTGCAGTCGGCGGCCGTCAGCGGCACCAGTGGTGAGTATGTGTCTTTGGTTGCTAGCACACATTATGGATGAAAGCTAAGGTTAGCTTGTCAGCAGCTAATGTTACTACCGACCCGCCCGCGGTGGCTAAGCCGACCTGCCGCTGCCACCATGCCCGGCTAGACGAGACTGACTTAACCGCAGCGACAACATTACAAGTTAAAAAAAAAAAAAAAAACTATTAGGAAAATATTCAAAGTGATAATGATAAATTCACCCCAAAGTTTACATAAAATAAATTGCATGCTTTATGTGCTTCACACAAAATGGAAATAAAAGTATATGCATGTATTTATGTTGTGACAGAAATACATATAACGTTATGACATGCATACACTGACATAGAACATATACTGAATAGAAATTATTTCACATGAGATCCACTGTTTAAAGTTGCTTAAATGTCAAAGCATGCCAAAATCACAAGTGTCTGAAAATATAATCAGTTGGTATATAACGTTCTACATGCATTTTATAATGAACACTTTCTTTCTTTTAGGTGTGTCCATGGCCCCTACTGCACAGCTGGTGGACAAAAGAAAATCACACAAGTTGGAGATGTGTAAGCAGAAGATAGAGTTGCAAAAGGAGAAGATTGATGAACTTATCAAAGAGAGAGACTACCTAAAAGAACAGTTGGCATCAGGTAAGTCTCCTTACACACAATATGTTGAGGAATTCTTGTGCAGTTGGGTCTTATTATGTTAGTTTACTGTATCTCTGGACTCTAGATTATGCATGTGTCTCTTTGTGGCATATTGGTCTAATGTTTGTATTTCAATATATTTTAACAGCTCTTAAAAAAAGGGAACAGGATACCCAGGCAATCTGCTTGCCTTCATCTTCCTCTTGTGACAGCTCAGAGGAAGATTCCTCTGATACTGTGTCTGCCTCCTCCTCTACTGCATCCTCATCAGAGGACAAGAAAAAGAAAAGGAGGAAGAAGAAGGGGAAAGAGACAAAGTCCAGAAAGTCAAAGAAAATGGAACCAAAGACACGTAAAAGAGGTAAAAATGCTGCATGTACTTTCACCCCTTTCTACTCACCGGTTTTTGGTTTGGTCCTGCTTAGCTCTGCTGTATTGTTCCTCTCCTGGCTGGTTCTTCTCACATGATGTAGCATTCTATGTGTGATTGTTGTTGGCGCTAACTAACTTAATGTACTGTAACAAATCACTTTCTGGATAGAGAGGAATAACCTAGAGAACCATCTACATATAAGTCTCTTAGTTGCAACTGCTCTGATCTCAGGTCTCCTACTCTAGAAACTGAATGTGAGTGTGTGACTCCCAAGCCTACAATGAGTGTAGTGTGTGTGTGTTTGAAAGTGCATATGTGTAAATACTACCATGTACTACCTTTTACTGTGCATAACACTAATTCTTTGTCGTCTGAATTGCAGTCTCAAAACCGGATCAGGCTGTATCCCGGTACAATTGCAGAGCTGTTCATTGCTGCACCCAGCAAATATAAGGAACTCCTTAAAAGCCACAACAGTCAGGTGAAACTCAGCGAGTTTGCCACACAGTGTGCCACTTCAGTTCAGGAGGATCCAGGAATAGCGGACACAGTTAAAGCCTTTAAGGTTTCCGGAAAGCTGCTTCCCCTGAAAACATAGTGAGCTAAAATGCTAGCTCAACACTGACTGAATGACAGTCAGCAAGAATTTGTCTTTCTGTGAGACAAATTCCAAGAATTCAGTGCACTTTGTTTTTGTAGTGTCGTAAAATTCAAATGTGTTGAGTATATTTATTTTGTCTGTCTCAAATAATTTTTAGACGTTTCTTAGAGATAGGATTTAGAATTACGTTAAATTGTGTGTGTAAATTATTTTTGATACAGAAAGTTTGTAATTTTTTCAAACAAAGATTTTATTTTTTGATACAGAGTTTTTATTTTAAAACAAAGATTTTATTTTTCATATTTGAAACGTCTGTGATCCACTGTTGATGTTGGCAAGTTTTTATTCAGCCATGTTTAATAAATATCAATACAATATGTTCTATATCCCTTTGTGTTGTGTCTCTCCTTCGTCTGTTAAGATAACTGAACATTTTGTGAGTCTCGAGGCATTGTCAGCCTTTATATCTCATTTGTAAATGCTTAATAAGCCATAGATAGTGCTCACTTTAGATAAGCTCGTGCAAAATACTTAATTAACGAGTAGTAGGTGCTTTGTAACTGTGAATTCCTGCATTAATCACTGTTTATAGGCCATCATTAGAAAATGAATTTGTGAGTTTTTATAGAACATCTGCTAACACAGTCACTAATCATTAATACATGTCTGAATAGTGGATGTGCAAGTGCATACAGAAATGTACAGTACAATGAAGAGTAAAACATTTATAACTGATTATAAACCACATAGTTATGACTATTTACAGCAGAATCAGGCTTTATAAATGATGAATTCAGTATTTACTAATCCATAACTAATGTGCTTATCAATGATGAATAAAACATTTTTAACTGTGTTTATAAACTACATACTAATGTGTATTCATGCGTTATAAATGATGAATTCAGTATTTATTCATGCTTAACTAATGCTTAATAGTGTGTACTCATTATAAAGTGTTACCATATTATAAAATAAAAATGTAAAAAATAATAAAAGAGCCCACTACAGCCTCTTGAAGAGCGGAGTGGAAGAGACAAGGATATTTGGGTGACAGGGCCACCCCAGGCCCCCTCTCTGGACACGCCCCTGTTCCACAGACGTTAATCTCCTGCAGGTAAAAACACTTGTTTACACTCTGTGTTACGTCGGTAACATTACCTCAGTTTTATTCTTTCGGGAAATCAGAACAGAGTTTCCAGGAAAATGTTCCCCTCATTTGCATCAGGGCTGCAACTAACAATTATTTTTATATCTATTAATCTGTCAACCATTTTCAACTGATTGTTTTTTTGGTCAAAAAATGTTGATTACTGTTTCCAACGTGACGTTATCAAATGTTTTTTTTTGTCCACAAACCAAACATATTGAGTTTACTGTCATAGAGAACTAAAGACACCAGAAAATATTCACATTGGAGAAGCTTAAATCAGAGACCACAACCTTTTAGGCTAGGGGCACTCCGTCAATTTACCAGTGAAAGTTACTTTGAAGGGAAAGTTTGACATTTTGGAAAATACACTTATTTGCTTTCTTGCCAAGCGTTAGATGACAAAATTGTTACCTCTCTCATGTCTGTATGCTGTATATTTGTAAGCAGCTGACTAACTTAGCTTAGCCTGGCCCAAAAAAGTGGAAACAGCTAGGCCTAGTCTCTAAAGCTCACATTGTTCTTCTCGTTTGTTTATTCCATTTCTCTATGCAATCACAACCCTTTCTGAAAATGCCAGCTGTTTAGGTCAGATGATGTAGTATAAAGAGTGAGAAAGTCTGCATATAGAGGTGGTTGGGTCGATGGATGAAACAAATACAGGACGTGAAATATTTATTATTTCTTTTTTTTTAAAACAACTTTATTTAAGACATTTTCAGTTATAGAGACAAAGGTTAACATACATACATACACAAACATCAATTCTCGTGAACATAATCCCATACTAGTACCCTCCCCTCCTCCATCCCCACATACCCTCCCTTGGGACCAAGAGTAGAAAAAAAAAAAGAAAAGATCCAATGCTGCATAAGTGTAGCATCAATGGGCTAGTCAGACAGGTTGACAAGAGAAAGTACCAAGATAACATGATTGGTAAGAGATTTAACTTGAAATATTTATTATTTCTAAATTGATCCTGGAGGAGCACTCACAGTGTCATATTTTGAAGCGGTGTGTCACTGATCAAGTGGCAATATTTGACAACTTGGGAATGAAAATATGTTGACAAGAGAAAACCTTTCCTGGTGACTTTAATGTGTAAAATGTTGGAGCACCCAAACTGCAGACAAAGTTCTTGGCCACCCCAGCTGCCACTCCACTTTAGTGTCAATTTAAAATAATGTGTTAAAAAATGGAAATTGATTTAATGATCTGTTATGGCCACATTTTAGACCCAGTGATAGTCTTCAGTTTCATGAAAAAAGACATTTATTTGGAAAAAGAATTCACATTTCTATTCTGTGCTGTGCTAATGTGCCACAATGATGTTTTGTTTTGAGTTCACAAATGTTAATTTGGGGCTTTTTCAAACAATTTCTTTCACCCGTTAAAGTCTCCATGACACCCTTTGGCCACCCCATGATTATTTCTCTAGATCAGTTTCTGCTAATCTTGCAGCAAGAAAGACTGTGGTCACATTTAAAAAAAGAAAAAGGCTGCCTCTCTGGACTGAATAGAAACTCCGGGCTTTAGCGTGAAAGTTGAACAATCTACATGCCTCTACACCACCCTGACCTCTACTATGCAGTATTTTTTGCCTCTACATAAAAAGGACACTACTTTCCACTTTGGCACTGACTGTCAGCATTGTACGTAACCCGTGAGCTGCAAAATCCTCCAGTATGAGCATAACTCATAGAGATAATGGGCTAGTTATGGCTATGAACCACGACATGCTGGTTTCTGTCTCATATATAGCAATGTCTTCCTCCATTATATCATTATAATGGTTCTCTAGAGGAAAAGCCTGGTGATCAGTGGAGTCGGCCCCTAAAAGCAGCACGATGAGGGCAAGAAATGTAACATTTGTAGCATGCATTTTGTAGAACGTATTTTCAGGTATTGGCATGAAGGTTATCAGGAATATTGTGTGGGTGTGTGGGTGTTCTGGGTACCAGCATGTGTGGGGTTTTTTCGGTGTAGAAAATGTATTCTTCACAGTGTGTGTGTGTGTGTGTGTGTGTGTGTGTGTGTGTGAGCTGTTCACGGGCTGTTTCTTTTAAGAGACGTGTTTTATTGAAGGATATCAAAACTCAAAAGTCTCCCTCGTTCTCTCTCCCAAGCCCACTACATCGCCATGGCAACCGAACCAATCAGCTCCACTGAATATGCCAGATAAGTCTGACTTGAAAGACTAAGAAAATCCCTCCTTACCTCTCCTCCCTCCCTCCAACTCTCATCTATCCTTCGCCCTCTCATCCCCTTTCCTCCATTCCCTCTCTCCGTGCAATTTATTTTCTTTATCTCCCCTCTTCCTCTGTCACCGTGCTGTTCTCTCTCTGTCTCTTCCCTCCTATCTCATTCCCCCTCTTCTCCTCGTCTGCTTTGCTTCACTCCCTGTGCGTTTCTCTCCCTCCTTACCTCTCTCTTCCCTTCCTTCATTGGATTAAACAGACACACCCAGACATTGTGCAAAAACATCTCTCTCCGTGACAGAGGCCCATGGTGAGAGATGAGGACTGGCATGCTGCTGACACTCACCATCTGTCCCAGAGACGTGGGGGCCCACAGAGAGAGAGAGAGTGAGAGAGAGAGGAAAAGGAGAACAGGACAGGCTTATAGGAAGCCGCCAAGACAGCCCTAATGATTTCTGCCTCTCAATTTGCATCCGTGCTTCAAGGGCAAAACTGCTGCTCTACTTACAGTATATGAAGCAAAGCCTTAAATTTGGCACTGAAAAAAGACTTCTGCAGATATGGGAATTGATATGAACAAATGAAAGCATGGTGGTGGTTGCCAGCTGTGAGAGTGCTGGCAAATGCTGGAATGTGATCGCTTTTTGATACAAAGTCCAACTGTCGGAAGCAGGTGATTAAACATTTGCTTTTCAGTCCAGTTTAATTCCTCATCAACCAGATACTAAATCAGCTCACTTTATAATCTATAAAGGACCATACTGGTAGTTTTGCGCAAACAATCCAGTAAAGCCAATGTTGATGTTCTTAATTGTATTTAATTGGCACCCTTAGTTCAAGGAATTATATGGTAATGTGTTGGACGTGAACAATCCGGCTCCATTAAGTGAACGATGAGAGCCGGCTTCAATATGGGAGCTGATTTCTTTTTTTTTTGTCTCTTTTTAAAATAGATTAAAGGACCAGTGTGTAGGATTGGCATCTAGTGATGAAGTTGCAGATTGCAACTAACTGAACACTGCTCGCACCTGTATTTGTCAACCTGGGAAGAGAGAAAGTTTCTCATTATTTTGAGATGCTAAGTCAATATTTTGAGAAAGTTTCTCATTGTAATGACTTAGAGAATCCTTTTTTCTTCCTGTCACGTTGGCGGAAATGGGCTTTCATAGAATCCACACACTGATTCAGAGATTTTTAAATAATCTGTTATCTCTGTTAGATTTTCAAATAACACAAGTCTCCCGCAGTCTATGTGCTGTGAACATATTCATTGTATCTATAATGACTGATCAAAGCCTTTTTCACTGCGGGCATATTAAGCTGCAGTTGGTGGGTTTAGAAGTTCCTAAATAAATGAAAGAATAAATAAAAACAACAGACACTTCTCATTTTTGTATATCTGGCCTCCATCAATTCAGCTCTCCAGGTAACTCAGTGGGTGTGGATTGAACCCATTGCAGCTATATATATTTGTTCCCCTTCCTTGAAGTATTCATGCTTAATG